ACGCAAGGTCAGTAAAGAAATGATTTACTAAGTTTGATGAGAAGGCATCCATAACGCCTTCCAAATAAACACCTTTGGGATGGACTAACATTGGTGCCTTGCTGATGGACGTGTTCGAATGAGAGCAAATACCATCAGCAATTATAAAATATCTAGTGGAAGTCTTCTCAAAAAAGCGGAAGCCCTTTGAAAGGACTATTTTAAGTTAAAATTAAATAAAAAAAAAACACACATATGATTCTGGTTCTGATTCCTAACAGGTTCCATTAACAATTCTTTGGGCATTTAAAGGGATACTCCACTTTTTTTGGAAATAGGCTCATTTTACCTCTCCCCAGAGTTAAACAGTTGGGTTTTACCGTTTTCAGATGTATTAAGCGATTTTCTGATATTTAGAAGAATATCAGTAACCAGACAGTTTCTGGTCTCATTGACTTCCATAGTATATTTTTTCCTACTATGGAAGTCAAAGAGACCAGAGACTGTCTGGTTACTGATATTCTTCTAAATATCAGAAAATCGGCTGAATGGATTTGAAAATGGTAAAACTCAACTGTTTAACTCTGGGGGAGTGGTAAAATGAGCCTATTTCCAAAAAAAGTGGAGTATTCCTTTAAATATTTCGGGGGATAATGCAATTCCACTTTCACATGACAAGATCATTTCAATAATAAATATATTTACAGCAATTCGTGAAGATTTGTGCCATAACTAATTACTAAACAACAAGACTAGACAAGCAAAATTGTGTTAACCATTTTTTTGAAAGAAATGAATACTTTTAAACAACAAGGATGCAAACACAGAACGTGATTGTAATTTCTTTGGGAAAGCTGCTAATGATATGGTTGCCTTTATGAATTTCATTATCAATACAATAAGCTTAACTTTCTTTTTGTATCACAAAATGTTCATGACAACAGATGTAGGCTTAAAAAGATCCTAACCATTAAACAAGACAAATGTTCTTATCTTGCTGCACAGAACTTTGATTCACATTTCCAAGAGCTTGTTAAAGAAGATGTTTCCAAGAAAATGCACAAATATATGTGTGCCCTCAACTTCGGTTTACAGACCTTCTGTCATCTCCCTCTGCCTTTCTATCATTTTCTTTTCCTTTTCTTTAAGTACACAGGTCAACACGTTATTCCCTGTACAGCAATCACATGCCAGTCAACTCTCAAACGCTGTGTCGACTCAGGCAAGAGGGCATCAACCGCACAAACTTTGGCAGCACGGGTTAAACTAGGTTGAATAGTCCAGGTAAACAGACGCACTGTGTGCCAAATGTTCAAATGCACCTCAAGTTCAATTATTGGAGAAATATACAGTAATATTTTCAACAGACCTGGGGTTCTCCAGAGTTTCACGTCTAATCCCACACCATGATCCTCTACATTCCTGATTTTTCATAGTCATGGTTGGCCAAACAATTTCGCTAAACATGCATTTCACATTCACTTCCAGTGGTGGGAAGAGACGCAAACTGAGACAGCTTGAACAAACTTAGCTAAGAGAGAGAAAGAAAGAAAGAGATCTGCCCCTTTTTTATACAAGTGGACAAAAAGCAAAACAAACACTAACGGACAAAGATATTTTTCTAGCATGACAGAGATAATTAAACAGTCCATGTAAGTGTGAGAATAAGCAATACATTTAAATAATACACTACCTGTAACTTGTACCCTTGGTGTACCTTACAGACAAGAAACCAAATGGTTCAGCCTTAAAGGGATACTCCACTTTTTTTGGAAATAGGCTCATTTTACAACTCCCTCAGAGTTAAACAGTTGAGTTTTACCATTTTCAAATCCATTCAGCTGATTTCCTGATATTTAGAAGAATATTAGTAACCAGACAGTTTCTGGTCTCATTGACTTCCATAGTAGGAAAAAAAATTTGAGAACAGAAACGGTCGGGTAACTGATATTCTTCTAAATATATATATAAAAAAAATCGTCTGAATGGATTCGAAAATGGTAAAACTCAACTGTTTAACTCTGGGGGAGTGGTAAAATGAGCCTATTTCCAAAAAAAGTGGAGTATCTCTTTAACCATCTACAGATTTTTTGTTGCAAACACCCAACAATTTGTATGTTTACTCTTTGTTGTCATGACAGGACAGCTGTTTCAAAGCTTGTGTGGTCTTAAGTAATCACCTCCTGTGCTAAAATACTGCCAACTGAAAACGCATCTTTAAGTACAGCTAATACAACGCAAGATCAATGAATGACTGCACTGGTCAAGCACATAAACGCTCAACTTAGCGGCTCTTAAGTGCTCAACAAGAGCCATATTTCTCCAGCTTGAAATGCAAAACTGCACTGCAACACGGGACTCGATGAAAAACAAAGGTACACTTCCAAATCCAATCAATTTATCAATTAGTCTGTTGTGCTGTAACACTAGTGACATTTTTACCAAACATGACCATTTCCAGAAAGAAATGCTTTATTCCAACAAAATGTGACTGCGCAGACAGACTGTTTCTTGTCATTTATAATACACTCAGGAATGTTAAATCATGCATCAAATATTTTCCCATTTCGTTCTTTCCCGGTCTTATAATGATTCATATTTAATGGATATCTGGTTAATGGCATTGGTTATTACTAAGCATACATGCATTAAATCATTTGACAGCAAACAACTTCATTGTTCACATTGCATAACAACAGAACACAATGTTAAATATGTTTGTCAGTTTAGCATCTAACTGACTTGTTACTGTGCCTTTTTGATGAGTCGTCATCAATCATTTGCTAAACTTGGTACAGTTAACAGTACTAATAATCTGACAATAAATAACCTATTGGCAAGATACTAAATATAGGCCACAATTAGAGCAATTAAAGAACACGTTTCAATCACATTATGGACAGTTGAATTTGATCATAATGTCCAAGCATTCGCAATTGAAAAAGTTCAAAATCTAAATAAATTGTCATTTGCTATTGCTGTGAATCCATGTGAGTGATCACATCATCATCAGAGAAGAGAATTATGTTATTGCAAGATCATTGGGAGGGCCAGGGATGAATTGCGGACCTGGACAATGGGCCCTTGGTTACCAGTAATGTGGGGGGCCCAGGGCTTTAAGGCAGCACAATCTGGTTTGGTACTGAAAAGCCATAAACAATGAAAACAAATGTTTAATTATGCTTGAATATTAGTCGAATGACAACATGACAAGGGGAACACATGGCAGGATGACATGACAAGACACGAAACATGACTGACATGAAACATGAACCAAAACAAGACGTGACAAATATATGGGTCCTACAGCCTTTTAAAAAAAGGCTCTTGAACTAAGGCTTTCTGGCAATCTTGGTACTGCTTCTATGGGTCCTAAATGAATGCCCACAGTCCTCTTATAGGACTATTGTCCATTCCTGTTTTAAAGCCAATCACAGCTTGTGATCCGGTGTTTTCAGAGTGTCTTGGTAAACCGTAAACAGCATCTCTGCATATGCTGTGAATGTGAATTTTTTCAATGATTTTACTTAGGCGCATTCTTTTTTTTAAACTGATGTGCATGGATAAATAATTTATAATAAATAATTTAAAAAATATTTTTTTTTTTTTTTTACATTTACAGCAGTGAGTAGCCTACTCTGGTCATTTTCAGCTTGCTGACTTTAAGATTTGACTTAAAGATTTAAGATTTGACTTATTAAGCTTGACTTTAAGATTTAGTTCTCAATCCTGCCACACATTCACACACACACACACACAAAAAATTCCACGATACATTGAATAAAAACTATACTGTATATCCTACAGGGTATAATGCTCTATTATCTATAATAAAGCCAATTGACAGATTCATAAATATCGAAAATAAGGTGTTGTTTACACATTAAGGGCATATTCAAACGTAATGGGTTCACAAACATTAAACAAATAAAAATAAAAAAGCATTAAACGCACGTGCTACATAGCCTACAGCCGGTGTGAATGTAGTTACAAAAGCACACACACAAACACTCACACTTTCACTGCTGAACGGAAACTAAACAAATTGCATGATGGGAGATAAAAAAAAAAATCTGCTGTGGAAGATAATATCAACGGGAAAAACAAAGAAGAGCATGGCTTCAGCTTTCTCACAAGGGTAGGTAGCCTAACTATCGTGTGCCAGGAACTATTAACTCAGATTTACATGTTAACAAACTGCGCTGATTAAAAAACACAAGCCTTTGATTTTCACGTTTAGGCACGACTTTCTTGTAATCAACTCATTGCCAAATGAATGTGACACCTCAAAACGAAAGGACAGTTCACAATTCGGGAAGAGGTATGGCTTTAATAACACAACCCTGCTTGCTTTATTGAAATCTTCAGTCATGGCGACAGACCTGTCTCAGTGTTTTAATCATTAACTCTTCGTAACGTAATTAACTTTCACCCACAGAAACCCAATTGGCTCTTCAACCACGAGCCCAAAAGAAGTACTGCTTACAGACCAGCGCTCAAGTTCTCCCCATAACGGTAAATTCAACAGCCTGATGAAAACTTTCTCCCGGAGCGTGCGCTTGCTGATCGCTTAATAAATGTCAGAATTCGCTTCACATGGTCGAACGCGCAGAATTACGGAGCAGCATTCGCTGGACTCTGGAATGGAGCTGGAAATGTGAGCTGGACTGTCCAGACTTGACAGGCGGGCTGAAGGGGGGGCTGGACTCTCAGCCTGTTGATCCGATAAAAAAAACAGGGTGCAAGAGCTTGGGGCTTGCGAAACACCGGTGCCAAACGCGCACTCTTGTGAACTAAACGGAAACCTTTAAAATTAGATTATATCAGACGTGATATATTTCAGAATCAACGGGAGCAACGTAAACAGCTTTAATTCAGCGTGAAAAGTGCAGCAGTGAAGCCTCAACGGGGTCAACCGTGGACATTAGTTTATAAACAAATATGCCATTAAAACAACAACATTTGACATCGACAAACAACATTTAAGACGCACCGAATTCGCACAGATGCATTAAACGTACCTCGGCAGGTCTTCTAAATCCGCTGTCGTTTCGCATAAAAGTACAGCAAAGCTTCCAGTTAGCGCCTACGACCCAGAAAGGCAACCTTTCTGCCCCGTCTATCTCAACCAGCAGTGGGTTATGCAGTTTTTCATGTGCTTCTACCCCTCCTCTCACTCTCTCGCTCTCTTTGGCGATGTCGTTCGTTTGAGTCGAATCGCATCAATGAATCGAATCGGATGAATCGTTTCACAAAATCTTTCTAAACGATGCTTTACTGTATTGGACTGAACATGTCCGAACGGTTCTCGAGTCAACAATCACTGGACTGAGAACCGTCTCTTTCGGCCATTTCCGATTCGTAATGAACAACATAAGCCTAAATCTCATAGCAAGAGCATTGGGACCGAGAAGTAAATTGATAAAAGGAATATCCTTATTTAAATGACATTTTAATCAACGCCCATACGAAACATTTTAATAAATATGGTTTTTATCAAAACGTGCAAAACTTTGTTTGCCCAAAGATCTGCATGTTTTATGCTACTGTAAAATTGTATGTAGTTCTACATTATTTTGTTTTCGAGCTGAATTACGTCTGCAAACAAACTGAACCCCCTTATAAAACTCAATTGATGTTAAAAATATGAACGTTTAACACATACAATGCCAAGCTGGGGCATCAGGGGAAACGTGATGTTGCAATTACGTCACGATGCAAAGAATCACTGTGCTCTGTTCTTTTAAACGAACTGTTTGAAAGAATCGATTCGCGGAATTGAGTCGGACTTCCCAGCAACTACTCTCTCGCACTTCTAACCGCCCGTTTCCGGTGTTGTTTCTCTGATGAGAGAGCCGTTTATGCAAGGAAATGTAAGGTAATGTAAACGTGCAGTAGTTCGCTATAATCGTCTATAATGCCCGTGCAAACATTGACAGGAGAATTATTATTTTGTATGTGCAAAAAGGTCTAATATTAGCGCTGCGGGACGGGGGTGGGGCTACAAAATATAAGACGGTTAGCGGAGCGCGAGGACTGCTGATTGACTGCTGATAGCGGTTAACGTTACCCGTGACTCGAGTCTTGCTGTCTTGGGCTGAGTCTGAGGGATAACCATAGATAGCCTTTATTATGGATATCTATGGATATAACCATAACCCTGGAAAAAAAACTTATTACTTTGAGCTGTATATATATATACACACACACACACACACACACACACACACACACAGCTCAAAGAATATAAATGTAAACTCCTACAATGTACGTTTCACTCCCTCAGTAGGGCGTTTTAATAAATTGGACTTCTTGGGGGCGTGTAGTTTAAAATGCCATACAATATCCTAATTAATGCAAATATAATACAACAATAATGGCCAGAAGTAAATTCAGTGGCGTTATATGCGTCTATGTATAACACGTAGGCGTTTGCCACTAAACAAACTGGCTTCAGCTGCTAGCTCAGCACTTTTAGGAGAGTGTGGCTCTGGGAAACGGCCAGATCTGGAAAAAGACCCACTTATGGTGACCCCTATTTCTCCTGTCCTCTGTCTTTCGAAGACGGAGAAAAAATGTCCGAGTTGACAAGTGAGACGACCGCACAGCCGGACGTGAACCCGGATCCAGGTTGGACACGCTCGCAGCTTTGAGATGGACACAAACTGTGATCAAAAGGCAAGCGGGCATGTTTTACGGGTTAGAAGAGATGATAAGAGCATGATATTTTAATAAATCAGTTTTACTAGTTGTAGGCTATTTGGAAAAAACTCAAAGCGCTCATATTACACATAAAAAAGTTCGCTTTTCAGTGTCTTTTCCAACCATTATATCTGCTGGCTCATTCTTTAAAGGGCTTTAATTAAAATTGGTGCAGTTGCATTCGCTTCCAAGCACACGCTAATTAAATGAGTGATTAAATCAGCCGTATTCAGTAGGTTATTATTGCCCCCTGCTGGTCAAACTATATAACTACACTCAGGCACAGAGGTTGATTAAATATTGACTATTCTTGTTTGACCGGGCCGAGTGAACCATATACGATGTGCTTGTCACATCGAATATGGTTGCATTTTTCAATTACATTTCAAGGTAAGGAGAATCAAATAGCAAACATGCAGTATTGGAGTTTAACAATACAAATATCTGCTAGTGAATGAATGCAGATCAATGCTATTGGGTAAGAAAACAATTTTCCTTTTTTTTTTTTTTTGCAAGAAAACTATTAAGAAGAGCAATGGGCTCAAACACAGTTTCCCATTCAGGTGCAGGAAATAAACAACCTTCACTGGCAGAACTCCATCCTGGCAAGATGAAAACACAGATTCAGCATATTCTCTCTCTATCTCTCTCTCTCTCTCTCTCTCTCTCTCTCTCTCTTTCTGAGGGCGGGGGTTTCCGTGGAATCAGAGGGCATGGATTTAGTCTCCCTTCATTTAGAGTGTATATTAACACAAGCCATATTAAATAAAAAGTATACTTTGCATCTGTTTATCATTATTTAAAATTCTCAAATGCAGCACTCTTTCAATCTTCATATTAAGCATGTGCATGCATTTACACATCAATTCAATTATTATTTATACAGCGCCATTACAACACCCAGAAAAGTGCACAAAGTGCTTTCAATAAAACAAATAAAAAGACAACATTATATAAAAAAATTGCAAGTTAAAGCTAATCTAAGCTGTTACGACAAAATAACTAACACAACGACTAAAAACAAAACAAATGATCACGTGTTGAAAGCCTTCCTGAAAAGAAATGTTTTCAACTGTGATTTAAAAACACTAAACACAGTAATGGACCACAAAGTAGGACCCTAAGATCAGCCTCCAAACTTTATGCATCTAAACTTGGGGATAGTCAAAGAGGTGTTCTGAGAGTTCTGGCAGAAGGGTATACAGTGACCAGCTCAGAGAGGTATGCCGGGGCCAGGCCATTAATGGCCTTAAAAACAAACATCAGAACCTTATACTCCACCCTAAAACACCCAGGTTACGAACAGTGGATGCAAACTGGATCGTGAGAGGGCCAAAACTAAGAAAGCTGCAAGGTGAGTCCTGGGTAAACAATATATACTCGGTCTTACCTTCATTCAAATGAAGAAAGTTTTGCGAAAGCCACCGTTTAATGTCCTGAGTGCAGTTATGGATGGGATCTAATGCTGAATGATTATTCAAAACTACAGGAAGGTAGACTTGAAGGTCGTCAGCATAGAAATGAAACTGAATGTTGTGTTTAGAAATGAGTTGACCTAGTGGCAGCATATAAAGGGAGAACAGCATAGGACCAAGAACTGAACCCTGGGGCACACCAGATGTTAAAAGGGGCAGCTGAGGAAGAGAAGTCATCAAGCATTACTGAGAAATCCACTCCCCTATTAATAAAAAGCAGTTCATTCAATAGCAAATGAGGGGGCTCATGAAAAGCAGATGAACTTGCTCTTTAAATAATTCTCATGTCTTTATAATCAATCAATCAGTTTCTCAGAGTAGCCAATATAACAGCTTTATTTCAGAAGGGATTTGTTTCTGCAAAACATATTCAGTGTTAAATTATTTGTTTCTACAATGCTCACGATGAATAATTGTGGAGAAAAAATATACCGTAACATTTACAATTATACAGTTACATTATGTTATACTGTCATGGAAAATGACATGAATAAAGCAGAATCAATATCTTTAAAAGAACAAAATAGCGAGGATTGTTATTAATGGCACATGGGAGAACATTTCTCTGAAGAAAATGACCAAGAGATTATTAAAATTTCAGTACAGCTTCACATAGAGAATGTCAGGAATGGTATATACTTGAATAAAGACCATGATGTTGTATCATGGAATAGGAACAAACAAAGAAAAAAAGAACTATGCAAATAAAAAAAATCCTGTTTTTGTGCCTCTTGCATAAAGACAACACAAATTTAACCGATGTATTCTCAGTCTTCCGGAGTCACCGGTCTCCATAAAAATGCAATTATTTTGAAAGTATAAACATCATTACTGCAAACCTAATAAACAGCTGGACGTCTGATTAAAAAACCTTGGCGAAAGGTCAAAGCACAACGTCCAATGCGATGTCTCTCTCCATCTCTTTTTAACCTTTACAGCAGAATGGCTGGGGTAATGACAGCTAGACAGAGAGATAAACACTCAGTAATTACCATTTGCATAAAAGCAGATGAGATTCATTCAGGAAAAATGACCTTTAAATATCCACTGAAACCCAATCACTTCATTTTGCTCCACTAGGTCTGAGATAAAATGCCCCAACAGGGCAACTATATGGGGGCACCTTGTAAAAGCCAGTCCTGATTTCCCTAACTGTAGTACTAGTCATCTTTTGTATTAGTACAGACTCTATTTCCACTTTCTAATGTTATGGTAGATGACATATATACAGTATGGTGACACACTATTGTTCAAAGGTTTGTGGTCTTTTGCAAACCGCCTCAAAAACACAAAGAGCTGATAATAGTTTCTCAACAAGAATTCATTATACAATAAAGAGAATATACATAGTGCAGTGTGTGTGTATATATATATATGTGTGTGTATATAATATACACACACAAAGTAGAAGAAAGGATAGATACACAGACGGGAAACAAACTCAGACTGACAGATGTTTAAAAAGTAGTTACACAATGAAGAAACATCATTTTCCATCATATTTCCATTTGAAGCGCTACCTTACATGATGACAACAGATCAGTGAATTGAACAAAATTATAAATATCTGTATATATATGTGCATGTATGAATGTGTCTCTATATAGAAGATTCACCATCTAACTGTTACAATTATAGTGCAAGATTTGCCTGCTAAGTTAGCACAACAAACATCACATTTAGGACACTGTAATATGGTGGAAATATCACATTTGCTCATCTGCGTAATATATATCTTCTTCCATGCACTTCCCATAGAAATCCAATAAAAGACTCAAATATTTTTCAGTAAAACATTAAAATACAGTATATTTATATAAACCAGAAGCTAAAATGGACATTATAGACCTGCATGCACAAACTTATCATCTGACCATTAATGATAATTCTGTTCAAATCCAGATTTGAAATTTATGTTCAACACGGTACAAGATCATGCCGGGTTTGGCAGCTTTAAGGAACTGCTGATCAATACTACTGTAAAGTTAACTCCCCTTCACACTCATTTCAAAAGATCAACATAAAGAATGATGAATGAAGAATTCACTGGGCATATGCTATGCTATCAGATCAAAATAAGTTTCATGTTAACTAACACCAGTGGACACCGCAATACAAGTGAGAGTCATGGCCAAATGTCTGCAATCAACCATATTGAAAAACTTTTACATAATCTTTATATTAACCTTCTTTGACAAAGGCCCAAAAAAGCTAAAAACTCCTGTTATTGGTCTTCAATGCCTCATGTAATAAAAGACAAATAAAAGTTAACATCTTAACCATTTAAAAAAGAATGAGTTCAATTCAGTATTATCAATGTTGACATGAAGACGAAAAGTGAACTTTCTAGCGTGTTTTTGCACGCTTGTGGCTATGCCTGTAAAACTGAAAAGAAAAGAATTGGCTCGGAGACAGAAAAGGGCTCTAGCACCTAAGCACATTATATACATGACAATTCATTTTCCCTATGTAAATAACAAACAAAAAAAAAAAAATCTAAAACGTTGGAAACCTAAGCATTTCGGCAGGTGTCCATATCTGAGATTGCTGAGGCTGCAAACCCCTCTCTCATGGGTGAGGGATGATCGGAGCTCAACTCCATGTCCAGAGTCAGGGATTCTATTAAAGAAACAGAAACACTATTAAACAAAAGTATTATGAGACATTACAGTGTCTGAAAAAAATACTGTATGCATTACGCCATCTTTTAATTACAATCATTACAAAATCTCAACATGTAAAATGCACTAACGTTCTCATAAAGCACACAGTTACAACTTGTAGGCTAAAGAATTTTCAGAGAGCTCCTATTTGTGACCACTGTAGGCTCATTTAGGCTTTGACAGTGTTACCATAAAAATGCAGAATTCCCAGTCCGGGACCGTCACTCGTCATCTCGAATATGGTAATTATGACAAGGCGTTAACATGCAGCACATATTGAGAAAGCTGTTGAAATTAGTCATGTGACTCACCGAGAGGTCCCGGATTGGCCTCCGTGGCTTCATTGTGCATGAGAGAATCGAGTGTACGAGGGGACATCGGGAACAAATCACTTGTGTTGCCAGAGTTAGTCCTGCAAAAGAAAGGCAGCGTACATTAGACATGACACGCAAGCAATCATTACGTCTACCATCACAAATAGACATCATGATTTCGAAAGATCTGAAAGTTCATTCACCACATCATGAGTTAACCTTCACTCCAATATTCACATGTATCATAAACACACACGACTTACCAAAACACACACATACCCACACCCAAAGTCACACACATGAGCATGACTTAGGTAACTTAAAGGGATTGTTCACCCCCCAAAAAATGAAACCTCATGTCGTTCCAAACCTGAATTACTTTTTGAAAAATTAAATATATTTCGACAAGTGTCTTTTTGTCCATCCAATGGAAGCCAATGGACTCCACAGTTGGAACCACATAAAGGTGAGCAAATGATGGAATTTTCTTTTTAGGGTGAACTATAACTTTAAGAGATTTTTGACAACTCAGTCAGGTGTTAGATGCAGTGGGTTCAACACAGTGTATATTACTACAGTTGTGAGGTAATGTGAATCTAAAGTTGGAGTTGCTTGTCCACTTTTATTTCCCCGTTCTTTTCACCTGAGCCGTGAATGCCGTGTGATTGATCACTATATTGGAACATAGAAAAGCTAGTGTACTAACGTTACATTTTTGCCATTCATGTTTGAAAAAAAAGTGAGAATACATGGTTACTTTAGAATGGCTATTGATAGAGGTACATGCTATCCTTTTTAGTTTTTTATAGGTGGCTGAATTTACTGAATAAATACTGACATACTGTATAGACCTTATGTAGCCCCGCCCCTTTTCAGCGTTGCGCTCGTTGTCTTTTGACTTCCGGTCTGTATTTCCACAGCGATCTTGCATAGGTATGAATGAACTGCTCGTAAAAACATCCTGTTCGACATTTGTTAAGACATCTGCTTTAAAATGCTTAAGATAAACATTACAATGCGCATGATAACTTTTTTTAACTCTACAATATGTAAATCCACTTCACCAGCTAATTACTCCTCGACAGCGATGCCGATGCCACAGAAATAAACAGAACCGGAAGTTCAAAGACAATATTCTAAAGATGACGGCGCCCACGTTTCTCTGGTGCATAAGGTCTTAGCCTACTTAAAATCTGCCCTCTTCTATGGTGCTCTGCTCGGCTACCCTTCGAAGCATCAAGTCTTCATCTGGCGAATGGTTTACCAGAGGGCAAAGTTCACACATGCCTATTTGTTAACACTACAAACAGCTCATACTTACAGTTTGTTTTGGTAAAGCTATTTTTCTACACTATTTCCTGCTTGTGTTGAGACGAGAACAATCACAAAACCTCTGAACCTGAAGTCTGCATTTAAAACACAAGCAGAGGTGCAGAAGTCTGATCCAACGCAATAGAAAACTAAGAGTTCATACTTGGGGGTATGTGGTCATGAACTCACAAACGATACATCAAACTAATCAAATGATACTAATATCAAACTGTAAGAACTGTCAGATCACTCAAGACATTTAGTTGTTGATTATGTTTGGCCTATGGAAAATTAAACCAGGCGTTGTTAAGTTCATGGGATCTATACTTGATGCGTGTATTTTCTGTCCAGAGGAGATCTCAAACAAAAGTGATCCTAATTGTGGTTTAATCAGAGTAATTTAAAACAAAAGGTGGTAAAATTTCACATCAAATGTTATATCAATATACCTGTCCTGAGATGCAGGCTGCCCAAGAACAAAATTATCAGACTTAAAAAACATTAGGCAATAGGCACATTGTATTTAAAAGGGTGCTAGGTTCTGCTCATATTGCAAGTATGAGAAAGCTGTGATGGAGCTTTACAGTATTTTTTACACTAAACCATATTAGACTTTGTAAGTGTTTTTTCCAAAACACTTTCTCACGCCGATACCATTACCAGGACCAATCCTGGATCACTTTGGATCATTTCTTCATGTTTTTCTTCCTAGATCATTAAAAGCACGGACTATCTTACAGCATCCCGAGCAAACGCTAGATGATGTGGTCATTTATTACCACACAAGGAAACAACATCTCAGAATGTGACTGCTTCTTTAAACTGGATTCTCATAAAATGTGAATTTGCTATTAGAGATGTAACCAATTGGGGAAGTAATGTCATTGAATTCTATCCTGAAAAAAAAAATTGTGAAACAACTCTGGATGCTGAGCACAAAAGAGTGCAGATAATATTCTTGCAGATGCGGAGGTTTGGTTAGCATGGTCAAGTTAGCCTCTTTTGGTAGATGAGATGTCACAACTAACTTTCTCTATTAACAGCCATTCAGAAGTAGCAAGCAATGTATGTTTTTGCAAACAAGACATAATAATTAATGTTAGATAATGTGATAAAACTGTAAATCTCCAGATGGTATTATAGACCTCACTGGTTTAGAAATACAGTGTGATGTGTGATAAACAGTGACAACAGTTATGAGAGGATGTGCTACATCTAGTGAGGTCATTTGTGTGGTTGTTGCTCAGTATCCTCGTCTTCTCTCTTTCCACATTCAGGTTGTCAAAGAGACAGTTCTCAAAGTCTAGTTACTTTTACTGATATTTTGGGTTGAAACTGTATTTTCATCATTTTGCGGATACACTGCAATTTTCTGTGGACACGGCCATTATAAGGGTCACATGTGTGACATGAGTCTCGAAGACATCATTGTTTAACATACTGAGAGACCAAACCATTTATACATCACATAAAATGCAACAATTCATATGACTCTCCTCTAAGGGGGAAAATAGAAATAACTGGAAGATGGGGAAAAGAAATGAATATGGGAGAGGAGGCAAACACTTTTTTAGTGCTAATATTTTACATACTGATACAGAAGTTAGCTTGTGACCTTATAAATTCATAAAAATCCCTTGTCCATTGCAGAACTAGTTCACCAACACAAAACAGATTCAGAGACATGAACAACAGCCATTCAAGCCTTTTAACTTGTATAAAAGTTCCAGTGACATCCAGACCCGTTGTTATAAAGGGATGAAGTGAGTAAACAGAAACCCTTGGTCAAGCTCTAGAGATGTTAAAATGAATGATCTATGTTAGCAGACAACTACAGGAGTGTGTTTGACCACAGATATTCACATCTCATACACACACACATAGAGCAGCTCCCTAGTGCCTACCCAGGGAAGCCGTTCCCAAACAGCTCACTGTCCGGGAAGTCCATGAAGACAGAAGGACACCTATGGAGAGAGGTCAGTTTATAGCCTGCCTAACACACACACACACACGCACACATACATGACCTCCAGTAAATCCAACCCCTCTACAAAGACAGAAAGCATTTGCGATTCAAGTAAGACTGAGTTTGAAGCAGCTTTTATTCCATCCAAAGGTTTTTCTTGTAGCCAAGCATGTTACCTAAAATGGCATTTACATTTTGATGTATTACAGTTTATATACCATATCCATTAACCATTGCTCTCATTATCTTAGTCAACATTCAAAAATCTGGTGCCATTTCAGAGACAGAGCAAGTTATATTTTGAATGTCTAATATGGATATAAATATAGGAATGTGAAAGATTACAAAAGACAACCATTATTTGGAATAATCTACACTGAAAACACGGAATTGTTCAAAATATCATCCAGGAACGTATGTTAAGGTAAATGGCGTCAATTGTTATTTCATGTTAACAGTGACATCATTTAGATTTTTTAAATTAGATTTCTACATTATTCTATTTTAAATGTATTCAATTTAATATGTTCTGAAATCACAAGGCTATAAAGTGTTTACACAACAGTTCACCTCAAGTTGTGCGCTTAATACATGTTAATGACAACAGTAAGCCTAAACCTCCTTTAATTAGCTGTTTTGCTGATCATGTGCTTTTTAAAGCATGGTTTCTGTCTCCTTGTGCAAGATTGTGGTTTAAAGGATGGTGTGAAGGGTCCTTGGAGGATTCAGTAGTGGCTACATCCCTGATCCATGTTGAAAAGATAACTGAGAGGAGTACTTTGCATGTGCTCCTGCCTGAAGAGTCACCAGAGATTTCAAAGTTTACAAGAGGACGGAGAGAGAAAACAGAGACTACAGCAAGATCAATCATTCACACACACACACACATACTGAGGTGAAGAAAGGAAAGTACTTACGGGGTGACACAGATGAACTTGGTCTTCAGGTAGGGCTGAATTACTGAAAGAAAAACAATCGCCGTGTTATAAAACAAGGAGAGTGAATGGGATTTTTGATGAATAGGAAGTTAATAAATAAAAATAAGAATGTAAAAGTCTTCACGGTCACTTTTAATCAATTTCATTTCGTACACTACCATTAAAAAAAAACAAAGAATAAAATCATGCTTTTGCAGGCTCTCTTCTCTTATTCTTAGATGATTTCCACAAAGGAAGAAAGTTTCTGGTAAACCACACCCTTTCAGTCCACTTCCAATACAAAAATAGTCTCCAAGACAAACGAGAATGAAATGAGACACACGTTTGCCAAGCAACATACCGATGTTATTCTGAGCCAGAATGAATTCTATTCCCGCAAAGGACACTCACCACATCCAGGGTCAGGGAACTCAGTATCAGGCTGGGCCTCGGGGCGGCAGTACTTGCCAAACGCCTCCTCTTTGGGGATATCGGGGTAGAGGTAGACCAACGGCGAGACGAGGATGTTGGTGGCATCCATGATCTTGTAGCCCATGATGATCTCAGCGAAAGACATGCTGTTGAGCTGCTGCTTAGTGTACGGTTCAACTGACTGGATCTGGGTCTTACCTGCACATACAAACAGGAGCACAAAGCTTCACATATTGAACTATACAACTACAGAAAAATGAAATAAAGTATGAATAAAAGTATAAAGCTTTTATTTCAACATTGATTTGGTACCGAAGTACTGACACTTTTGACATGTACATGGAAATGCATTCACCATTGATGTCCTTCTCAACCCAGGTGAAGGTAATTCCTCCCTCTTTGCTGCTTTCACTGAAGCGTAGCAGGAATGTCCCTGGAGGCTTTGGACTCAGGATTGCCCTCTCTCTTTCTTTACTGATGAAGCCCATAATATACCTGACGCACACAAGAGCTTGATGTAACCACCCAGGCAGTGATTGATGTAATGAACTATAAATACCGCATGGACGCACACAACGAGTGCAGCAGGAGTTCTCACCCTTCATTCCATAGAGCCAAAATATATTTCTTCACTAGGTCAATAATGTTGTCTAGCCACACCCAGAATGAGAAACCTTTTCCTGCCATGTTCTCCTGTGAAACAGAAACAGAAACAGAACAGCAATGTTTAAAGAAATCTGATGGTTTGATTTGCACTAAAATTAACTCAGGACAAGGAACGAAAAGTTGTTATAGAAACATACTTTGCAGAACTTGGCCCATGTGATTTGGCAACCGGAGTAGTTTACACACGGACCTACACAAAATCAGAAATACGTAAGTAAACAGAGATGCACAAAAAATGTTAAGATATATATTGTATTACCACACAGAGAGAGAACGAGAAAAATAGTTTTGGGTCAGTAAGATTTTTATTTTAAAATAAATTCCTACTTTTATTCAGCAAAGATACAAATGATTAAAGGCGACTGTTCACCTCTACATATAATCAGATGTAGTAAAAACTGTGCATATTTGGGGTGCTGTCTGAGGTGATCACCGTATTTACAGATTACAATCTGTATTGTAAAAAGCGCTATATAAATAAAGGTGACGTGTCTTGACCTCTCCAACTTTGTTAATCAAACATCATTTCATGCTGTTAATTTGAATGAAAATATATGTAAACGCAAAACTATGAAGCAGCACAGCTGTTTTGACCATTAATAATAATAAATATTTCTTGTGTGTCAAATCATCACATTAGAATGATTTCTGAAGGATCATGTGACACTGAAGTAATGATGCTGAAAATGTAGCTTTGATATCATAGGAATAAAATTCAACATTATAAATTACATTCAAATAGAAAAGTTATTTAAAATTAAAATAGTAATATTTTGAAATATTATATTATTGTATTTTTGATCAAATAAATGCAGCCTAGGTGAACATTAGAGACTTATTTAACAAATCTTGCCAAACCCAAACCTTTAATGTGTAGAGCATGTTCAGAGGCACATTTTCAGGAATTTAAAATCATGTGATCAATAATATAGAAACAATATAGAAACCACTGATTTTTTATATATACATATATGTATATATATATATATGTGTCTATATATATATATATATATATACACACATATATATATATATATATATATATATATATACACACACACCCACCCACACATACCCAAAAGTTTCTCTGCAAGTGTGGTAAGCTGCTCAATGGTAAGTCCTCTTTTGGTTGTGGATGAAAACTGCCAGCTGAGCACCTCTGCCACCTGATCCCACGTTCCCACCGGAGGTTTGGTGAAGAAATTCACATTCTGTGAAAAGAAGGGGGAAAAATTATACTGAAAAACCTCTTGTGCTAACAGTAAGTATGTCTTGCTGTGGATCCATTTCAAACCTTGGGATGGTTGGTCAGCATGTTGTACCACAGGATGGACGCCCATGCATTTGGCATTTGACAGATATTAGAGATGACCACCACTGGGAGAGAGTGCGTCTGGACAGAGATAAAGACATTTATTTATAATTTAGAATAACACATCCTGCTATTTTTGTCCAGCACGCTCTGTTAATTTGTCCAGCAAATCTGATAAGTGCAAAAAGAGACCTGAGGTTGAATAATTATTAAGCAAACAGAGATTATTTTGTTTAATTAACCTGTGTGGGTATGTTACGTGATGTGTCCATCCACACAAAAGGAATGATTTCGTGTGTACTCTTATCATCTCATAATAAGCATCTAGGCAGCGCTATGTGCAGTTATGGGTTTGATCAGAGACAGATAACCAAAGAACAAGCTGCCTGGTAACATATTAATATCCTCCTACTGCTGGTACCATGGCAACAGCCTAATTAAAATGACCTTATCGGCTTTCAATACACTGAATCAATCACCAGTAGCAGTGCGATGGACTTAATCAGTAATGAGGTTAATAATATTATCATCTTTGATTTGAAATAGAGCTCAACAGTACAGAGTCTTTGTGACAGGAATCCTGTCACGATAAGACATGATTGACATTTTATTTTACCCTAAATTCTTGATAAAAATTAAGAGTTATTTTTAGATGAACTAATCCAGTGCTGCTGTTGTCAGAAGTGTTTATGTGTAGCTTGTCACCTCAAGGTCGATCTTTAGTCCTTGGTGGTAGACCTCTGTCTCGAATGTGATCAGGTGAAGTTCTTCAGTCACTATCAGAGAAGCCTGTAGTTCAGAGGGCAAAGCTTAGGTCCTTTCACTGACTTCATCAATAGAAGTCCTAAATAAAATGAAAAACTCTAACAATGCTAATTATACAATTCCTTACGTCACTGTTGGTTCGACCTCCGTTGCCACATCTCTGCTCTCGTAGAGTCTGAAAGACAGAAGAACATGTCAGAATTATAATGCATTTCAAGCAACAAACAATCAACAGCTGATCCCGTCTCCTTGAAGCTTGTATGGTAAGACATTTTTTTGGCACTTTATATCCCAGGAGTTGATTCTTTTGAAAGAGTATATTTTAATAATAATAATAATATGTTTATTTTCTATAGCGCCTTTCAAGAACCCAAGGTCGCTTCACAATGCAATACAAATAGCAGAAAAAGACAAACAGATGGGAACAAGCAAACACTAATTGACATGAATCAAAGAAAAAATGTTTTGTATTATTTATCCGAGTATACAATTACGACAAAGTAAGTAGGAAAAAGAGCTGAAAAAGTAGAGAAAAGTGAAAACAATGTTGAGGATGCTTATTTATTGGGCAAGCTTGAAGATATGAGTTTTCAGTTGTTTTTTGAAGGTCCAAATGTTGTCGGTCGCATGAAGATTCAGGGGCAGTTTATTCCATAACTTAGGGCCGACAACACTAAAAGCCCTACCACCCACTGTAGAGAGCCTGACCCGGGGTACCACGAGTAGGTTTTCAGCGGTAGACCTGAGGGCCCGAGTTGGAACATATGGCTGTACCAAATCAACAAGATATTCGGGTGCCGGGCCATGTACGTAAGGCTTTATATACTAGGACTAACAGTTTGAATTGGATGTGGTTTATGACAGGAAGCCAGTGCAGTTAATGAAGGATAGGAGTGATATGGGCAGATTTTTTATTATATGTGAGGGCTTGTGAGTTTTGTACCATTTGAAGGCGGTGAATTGCTTTATATTGCTTTAACTACGATTATCCAAAGAAAGACTGAAATAAGCCATTTATTGAGTGTCAAAATTATTTTTTCTTACTCACATAAATTATGACTGTCACAGTTAACAATCAATCCAATAAAGTTGTTTCAAAAGTTAGGGTACTTATTCACTAAGAATATACAGCGTAGAGCTTGAGATGAAAGACATTCAATGCTGGACTAATTTAGGTACTATGGTTCAGAGGACCAAACAGTGTCCACAGTTGAAGAAACACAAATCCAAATAATATTCGGTTTTGAACTCCAAAAATAAAAAAAGAAAGATATTGGCGGATTGGCTGAGCTTACCAGATGTTTGAACTCTGCTGACAGGCTGCCATTGTTGGATTCCTCCATGTTCATCACCTTCGTGTTGGTGCCAAGGATGTTGAACTTGCGTGAACTGGTGGGAAAGAAGCAGAACACTGTGTAATGCAACAACTTACAGGTACAAACAAAAGAGATACTTCCATTTACTTAAATATAATTTAATGATAGCAATTAAACTTCTACAAAATGGCTAAAATATTTTATAACGGTTTACTTAAAATAAGCTGATAATAATAATACATTAATTATTCATGAATAATGTCAGAAATCAGCCCCAAATAAATTGGTCTATAACTACAAATAACCATGTGAAAATGGCTTCTTTTTTAACCTCAGAACTCACCCTCGAATGGCTGCCACGTCACCTGACTCCCTGCAGGACATAGGTGGAAAAAATTTCAATTGGCACGTCAAAATACAACAAAAAATCATTTAGTTTCATAGAAAGGAAATGAAACGTACTTGTCAATGCACACTTTGATTTTCAGCTGGTAATTTAACTCTGGGAATTTCACAAGCAACCTGAAAGAGAGGAGGGGGGAAAAGTTCACAATTTGTGTCTAGACCTCCTTACTTTATGACTCACCTTTGCATTTACCCACCTGACTTTGGTGGTGAACTGAACTCCTGTTTTGATGACAAGGGGTCGGTCAGGGTGCATGGGCATACAAGGCTGTCTCTCAACAACAAATGCACTGCAATTAGACAAGCGCACCACAGAAAACATCATTGATCAGATCCTGTTTCAGTAGATTTTACAGTTAAACACATGAGTGGGTGATTTCAAACCTCTTCATAAGGTTGCGGAACAGGTCTACGATCTTCTCTTCCAGAGCAGGGCGGTGCTGAATAATTGGATCTCCTTTGTACGAGACCTTCTGTTGAAGCTCCTCCAGTTTCTTGATCTGCTGTCTTATCTGCAACTGTGACTCAGCCAAAGAGGTGATCCTGAAAGGCGCAGATTGAAAAGAAGGAATTAAAAAAGGTGGGATCCAAAAGCAGTTTGTAAACTAAACGTATGTGTTTGTGCTGGCTGTGTACCATGTCTCCAAGCGGTCCAGGCAGATGTTCGGTGGTCCTCCGATGCAAGCGATCTGCTGTCTCCTCTTCCAGTCGGCCAGTTCTTCATCGGTCAGATTCTTTTGCACAAAGTCCATGGCAGACAGCAGACCTGCCATCTCAGTCACTATTTGCTGCAAAACAGAGAGCAAACTTTTGACACATTTGTAAATGTTATGTAAAAGTTACTGGTCATGATTCAGGAAGTCAATGCTGTATTTTGTGCTGTATCTCACCCTCCTCAGCTGATCCAGAGCGCTCAGCATCTGCTCCAGTTGAGACATCTTCTGCCTGGTAGCTGCTGCCTGGCTGTTTCCATTCAGGTCCTGAGACAACTCTGCATGTGACACAAGCGATTTTATCACTGATTAAGGCTAGTTAAGAGGTTTTGGACAACAAAAAAAAAAGACAGCAACATGCACTCATACCTCCAGCACTCTTTAGAGTTTTGTAGTTAAAGTCAAAATCATCTTGCAGATTTTCCAACATCTTCATCTTCTGCTCCATATCCTGTATAGAAAGTGTAAGGGAGCTGAATGAGTGAGACAGTGTACCCCAAAAAGGACAAAATATGAGACCCTCATATTGTGCTTGGGGCAATATGTTAAATAAAGGCCTTTCAAACTTGGGCAATAAGGGGTTGCTAGATGGTTCGTGGAATGTATGTGTAACTAATTGTGAACAAAACAAACCAATGATTTTCAATTAAAGTGTAATTTGCTGTACTAACCTGTACTCTCTTCCTGATGTCTTGCAGGTTGTGTTCAAGTATCTGCTGTTTTTCTGTCACCACAGTTCCTGTGGGATGGGCAACCTGGCCATCCTAGAGAAGAGAAAGAAATTGGAGAAACAGAAATCTAAATATGTCCTTACAAAGAAGAATCAATTTCCAAGTAAAGTGTTTTTGACTTGAAATGACCTGAAAACTGGCCAGGTGAATAGAAATCTAAGGATACTATGTGTATGTTAAAGGGGCGATGAACTGAGAAATCAAATTTTCCTTGAGCTTTTGACACCTAAGAGGTCATAATATTGTAAGAATATCCTGTAAGTTTCAGAACTGAAAATCTCCTTGTTAGTCCAACAATAAAAGCTTTCATTGACACCAGGCTCAGCAAACGACTCGTTATTCAAAGTGGGAAACTATGACGTCAAAGAGGATAAAACACCACCCCCCACAGAAGAAGATCAACGCCTACTTCAACATGGCCGGTTTAGCCCCACCCACCGATTCACACATTACACGCATTGCTAAATACGTACACCGATGAGTGAGTTGAAACTCATTATAATATGCAAAACTGTTATTCACTCACAGCAGTGGGCGTTTACTTCCAAGTCTTCAGTGCGAGACGCCCATAAAAACCGAGCGTTTTTGAGCTCGGTTCAAAACTAGAGTAGAAAATAGCCTATAACTTATTCATTTTGATGTTTTTGAATGAAAACAACAAGCGAACGTCATAAGTTGACCTCAGACAACAATATAATAAAATTTAAAAAGCCAGTTCATGACCCCTTAAACAATGAATTTATTTATGAATGAAATCTAGATGGAACGTTTAATGAAGTCAACTAATTTTCACTCTATGTGTGGTGGAATGCATTTACCATATAAGTGCAACAAATCTGAAATCTCACACATGAGTAAATACAGCATTCGTCTGTGCTTGTGTGTGTGTGTGTGTGTCTCTACCTGCTGCACAGTGGTGGCCGTCTGCAGCAGACGCTGCTCTTCCCACAGGCAGCGGGCCACGATACGGGCAATCTCCATGGGCTTCTCCAGATACTTGCTCTGCAGGTGCTGTTTAATGCGCCGCAGGTTGTGCTGGTACAGGACGTTGTTCTCCTGCAGGAAGCGGCTGTACTGCTGATCAATCTCACCCAGCAGGTTATGGAACACAAGCGTTGCGTGAGACTCCTTGTTGGCTGCATACGCCCTGTGGCGGACAGAAGCAAATGGCTCATGTGATAGGCAATGCACAGCTTCCTCCATTCCATGCATGCACTTGATCATTAGACATGCCATTATTTATAGAATAAGCAACAGCTAATACGGTAAGTTCCAAAAACAAAATGAACCCTGGGTTATATTGCAGTTCGACAACCAAGTCTTTTCGAGCATGTACAACTTCAAACTAGGGTAGGGTAGGGTTTTAGTTAGTGAATGGCCAATATGAGTTTAATGTTATTTATGTATCATTCCAACCCTATGCTAACCCAAGTTTTATTCTGATATTTGTATTGTCTACAGATTGACATGCAAAACTGCAAAAGAGTGAGTATTCTGAAAGTCCTATGTAGTCTTGTGCAGGTGTGTGACAGTGCAGCTTGCTGTCATCTTCAGAAACATGATCTCACTAGTTCTGCGGTGAGCAAAAAGTCCTGACCTCATCCAGCAGCAAAGAAACAAGTCATCGCTCTATCCACTACGCAAGAAATTAAAAAAGATCAGAATAATATCCTAGCACCAAAAAAGCAAGCTTTGTCTGGGCAGACTGAAATGTCTAACGGCTAGTTCAGTAGTGGATTTTTTATATATATATATATATATATATATATATATATAATCTAGTAAATTAAATACTTAAATGCGTATACTTAATCATTTTTTTTCCTTGCGATGTGCACAAACTAAAACAGGTAGGTTGGAAGGTTGGAATCAGTGCAAAAACTGTTTTATATTTCATTACACTTGTGTAAACAACATAAACGTTTTTCTCCACAGGTATCTACTCTGGTATAAAAAAAAATACATAAAAATCTATTGGTTCCTTTACTATCAAACAGTACCATCATACAACCCAGCCATATATGCGCCACACATATTTTAGCTTCTCTTTGACAACTGCAAATTTAATGACATCACGTAACGGGTGAAGACTGTATCCCTATATCTGATGTTTGTCCCTTTGTGTACTCAAACAAACGATCCATTCAGAAAGTTCTACGGCACTGCCAGTAATGACATAAACCAAACATGCCGAGGGCTATTTGTTTTGTTGTGTGTTTACTTCAATAACCCTAACTAAAGAAATTGAGTGAGATGGCCATGCGAAGGACAAAGACTTTGAATATTGCTTTTTGGGAAAAGTTTGTGCGGTTTGTTGGAAATTCCAGTTTAGAAAAATTCAAAAGAAAAGGGAAAGAGACATTAATCAATTAAAATAAAAAGCAGTATGCATTAAAGCAGTGTTGCTTAACTGGTGGGTCAACAGACCGTTTTGACCGGCTTCTCAAACAAGGGAAAACAAAAAACAAAAAAACGTGGGACGGGACTTGATTTTGTCCACTGAATCATTGTCATGGCCATATTGCTGTAATCTCATGTAAGTGACAGTCCCTCACGCCAGTAAACACATCATCAGAGAAGAGGAGTGATGTCAATGCGGGGGGAAGATATTTTAATTAAAGATTACATGAATTTAATAAAAAAATCTTGTGCACGGATAAATCATTTATAATCAACGCTGCAATATTCCAATTGTCAATTTTTATTTTAAGAATACATCTCAGCTTCCGCATTATATCACTTACACTTACAACACCACGACTCATTGCTCTAAGTACAATGCTGTCTCCTAGGGACTAAGTATTGAAAGTGGGTATGGGATAGCCTACTTCACTAGTTCAGTAACTAAAGGGGCGTTCACATGCTATGGAAAATATGATATTTTCCACTTATGAACTGGTATTTACCAGTGTGTTGCGTTGTCATAATGTGGTAAAAAGAAGGAGATCCACACCTGTTATTTAGCTAAAACTATTTTAGATTGCTTTAAGTCATCAGCAAGAAAAAGATTTATCAAAACTCAAACGGTAACTAATATGCTGTATATTTTCTAGATCATGAATAGTACATATTTTTACCATTCACAACTCTAGTGTTACTCTCTGTCATTTTGAAAAGGTCAAATGTTATCTCATCTCGGCAACTCATATATTCTACGAGTTGCCCAGTGAAAAATACAGCATGAGGGGGTGTTCATGAGGGGGTGTACATTGTTATTTATCATAATTACCACAGCACATAAACGCACCATAAATGTACTGACATAATTGAATTTTCTTGACTACATTTACCTCTCCATTTAAATATGCATGCTGTGATACAGAGACTGAGAAGAGGAAACCGGACATGAGTCATTTCAGTGTCGCCATTCGACCAATCATAAAGAAGCCATTCACACTGATGCTGTAAAAAACCTCAGAAAACAAAAATGGCACTGGTTCGTGTTATTGTTCACAGCAGACTTTCCTGGATCACTTAACGGAAAGAGGAATGACATCACCACAGATGATTCTAAGAATAAGGAAGTTGTAGGAAACTCGAAGACCAGGCTTGGGTCTATCTTCAGCAGGATTCTTTATTGAGAGAACATCTTTATTGCTGTTTGACCCTGCAGGCATCAAGTCTAACAGAGGGGGCTATACACTCTATTTTATAGGCATTTGATGGGCTGACACAGTACTCGGGTGACATCTTTATATCAAAGTAACAAAAGAAGAATGCAGGAAGTTACCACCGAATATAAACTCCAGTAGACCCATCTAAAAAAAATAATCAGTATGACATTATCAAATGGTTTGAATTCCGCCAGGTCAGGGGAACTAAGATTATGTTAACATTTACACATAGTTTGACTCTCAATAGTAAGATCAGAGACTGGCAGAACCCCCTCACTGGAAACTCTATTCAATCTAACCAGAAAACGGATGCCATCATGTTCATCTTGAATGCCTAATTAGGGCTGTGCGATATAGCTTTTCACAATATAAATGCAATTATTGACATATTTTATAACCTTTTTCTTTTTTAAAGAGAAGTAGAAAAGTTTGAATTTGATCTAATTGAATTGAATTTATCCACATTATTAAGGCAAAGAACAAATGTTATTATTTTTAGCAGTCAAAAACTAAAATAAAATATAAACAAAAATATATTCTTTATGTCTTATACTAAGATAAAAAAGTAATGCCAGAGAAATTTCCTTATTTTAAAAAAATATATATACATTTATTAAAAGAAAACTTAATTTAGTTAATAAGAAAAACTTTGTAGGAAAACTCACACTTGGCTTATTTAAAATTTATTAAAAGATTTTAAATAAGCCAAGTGTGCGTTTTCCTACATCTTGAAACTTTTAGTTTTATAAATGGGGGTAAACTTTGAAGGATGAACAAATAAATGTTTTTGTCATCACATAAAAATAACACTTAAATTTGATATTATTTTAGTTTTGAAGTGCTGGGAAAAGATTTTACTATTCCCACCAAACTTCCATGGTTAACTCACAGTTAGTGTTACTACAGTAAATCCATGGTGAATGTTGCTGATCTGTGGACTTAAAGCCTATAATTAGTTCATTTAATGACACAATGTTCCTCCTGGTTTCCACGTCAGCACGGTTTGATCCGTTAATAACCGAGAAATTTTAATGCTTCTCACTAGATCTCTAGGCGCTGTGTATTAACAGTGTCACATGATCAAGATCTGCTTGGTCGTGAAGAACAAAATAATGAATAGCACAGTTTCGTTCCGCTTTCATTACGTTTGCCATTTTATGTTGGGCAACTTAGTGGTGGTCACGCCAGCGATGCGCCCGCATTTTGATACCGTTGATATACAGATACCATTTATCGACCAGCCCTATAGACCAACGCCACTTTTGCGTCATCGAAGGGTAACGCCCCCTTTTGGGGGAAAACACCTCTATACTGTCTATGGGAAAACAAACGGATTCCCATGAGAACAGAACTCGCTTTAGATCTGCAAAGTTCTTGATAGCAAAAATGGCACAAACTTAAAGAAGCTAACGTTACTGAATACGGGGTTACAGAGGTTTCCCTTTGAAATGGTCGAAAACTGGATTAATGACCCCACACAGCGGCCAAATATGGACTATTCAGACATCTAACGATACCACTATCTCGTGGAATCACCAAGTAAGCACGTAGCTAGCCTTTTTTTTTTTTCATTAACACTCACAGTATGACAAACTAGACGATGAATGGATCATATTTAACTTGATTTAAGCTATTGACATAGTCTAATAAGGTAACGTTAGCTGCTAACAGCTAGTCTTTCTAATAGCTAGTCGACAACAAAACTGTCAATAGCTTAAATCAAGTTAAATATGATCCAAGTGACATGGCCTCATCGTCTAGTAGTTTGTAATAGGCTACTGTGAGTGTGTAAATGATAAATAAATAAAAAAGGCTACTTACTTGGTGATTCCACGAGAGAGTGGTATCGTTAGATGTCTGAATAGTCCATATTTGGCCGCTGTGTGGGGTCATTAATCCAGTTTTCGACCATTTCAAAGGGAAACCTCTGTAACCCCGTATTCAGTAACGTTAGCTTCTTTAAGTTTGTGCCATTTTTGCTATCAAGAAACTTTGCAGATCTAGTGCAAGTTCTGTTCTCATGGGAATCCGTTTGTTTTCCCATAGACAGTATAGAGGTGTTTTCCCCCAAAAGGGGGCGTTACCCTTCGATGACGCAAAAGTGGCGTTGGTCTATGCCCAACACAATGTAGTTGTATTTGTTGTACTTAGTTTTTCATGCGATGTTACGTCGGGAGGGACAGATTCTTACATTTTTTGTATTCTCACAAAGTGCACTACCAAACGCAATATTTAGGAGTGTGGTCAAGTGATTATCTCGACTTCTCTTGGTGTCAGAAAGTCTGTTGGCTTTAAAATCGTTCAGCGAGAAGCAGTCACCAGGAACTGACTCTTTCAAAATAGCACTCTTAAATGTCAGCATGAAAATAACATTCACTCTATCTATTTTGTAAATGCGTGTTATAGATCTTGTGACGACCAACGAACTTAAAACGCATCTTAACACCATAGTAAACAGGACTTAAATGTCTTCTCGATCTGCAGACCTCTCTGGGGACAAATATCGAATCTCTCCAATCATTTAGTCTTGAATGTGACGCTTGCTCCAAATCCAATTTACAACTAATGCATACAATCAAGTTCGTCCGTCCTACACTGTTTTCTTTTTCGATAATCCGTTAAACTCGGATACATCACAACACGGAAAAGATCAGTCGTTACTTCAGTTTCAGCAAAACTTTAAAAATACACAAAAATAATCAAAACAAATGTTAAATCTTGCAGCTCAAAAAAGCAGACCTCCAGATAGCTGCTGTCCTCCTTATCTATTATGTCATATCCTGTCTACAACCGGCAACTCACCAGTCCTGGCTCTCGATCCAGGGGGCCAGGAACTGCCGCAGCTCCATGGGGAAGCTGTCACTGTACAAGTGATACAGCTGCTCCAGATATCGCGTCTCCAACTGCTGTAACTGATTCCACTGGGCCATGTTGACCTGCAGGACAGAAAGAGAAAGGGAACTGAAAACTCACTTGACACGGAAACAAAACTGGTCCGTTCAGCTTGTCAAGATTCTTTTTTCCTTGTTCCTTCCTCATAAACAGTTCAAAACAAAGGCAAACTCAAAGAGCGAAAGTACCTCGGCGACTGTTGAAAACGGACATAAATATCACATATCGACGTCTGCAGTATAGAATAATGCTGTTTATATATGCAGTTACATTCTAGCAACCCAGTCTTATCAACAAAACATCAGAGATGTCAAGGAAGTGAAAGGTCCTGTCTGTTACCAGCGTGTCAATGCCACAGAAATCAGTGGCTGTTGATCGTAAAGCAGCGAGAGCATCCGTTCAAAGAGGAAAACCTCAAAAGCCCATGGATACCGTTTCTCACTACATTACCTCAATATGCTGTGGAACACACACTTACAGTTTACCACATCCACACAGAGGTTTGTGCTGACAAACAGACTAACTATCTCTCAGGTTTGCGCGCTGAATAAGGATAGAGAGAAAAAAAAAGACAAGAAAAGGGAAATATGCCCCATGAACGAAACTTGACTGCTTTTCTTTATTTCACTTCTATTTTGACCATCATTCCAATGCTGAGCAGTAAATTAGCCAAACAAGAACTGTAAAACTTGTGTTTCCTTATCAAAATGTATATTTATAATTTATACGAATAATAAATTATAATTTCATTATATTCTGAATAAATTCTAATCCAATATTTAAATGCATATGATTTATTTAAAGTTATTTTTTATAACTTCTTTATAGAGTAAATATTTAATAAACTACTAAAGAGACTATTTGAAATTCATCAGATATAAATCAGCCTTTTGATTAAGTATAAATCATAACTGAAATAAAGCAAACTTACATTGTTATCCACAAAATGAACCGCAACCTTGCTCGCCATGTCTACCTGCTGTGTGAGCAATGGGGAAGTGAACAACTTTATTCATGCACAGGTTAAACTATAAGAGTATGAGGTGGAGCTACCCTCCAACTTGGAACCAGAGATAGGAATGCCAGATACGTCTAAAGCACCGACGACAGAAGTGCAGTAGATAAAGGTCAACCAATTCATTTATTGTATTTTCAATATAGTCCATTATAAATCGTTTACTTTGGATGGATACCTGTTGCATTTATGACTGTCATTTATGTGATAAGGCAATTTTACTTTGTAATAGGGAGTATGAGATGGAGAATATGAGGTGGACTTTGACCTATAGAGACAGGAATGCACAAATGCAACATTAAACACAGACCAATTAAAAATGTGACGTCTCTTTAAGTATGTAGGCTAGACAAAAGACAAAACTGGAAATCTTTGTCTGGATTTTAGTGCATGAACATCAGATGATGGAGTGTTCAAGGCCGGTTGACAGGACTGTCATGCCACCTGTCCTGAGTTGCCACCAAAAAGTTAGCATTCATTTGTACTGTACATTAATTTTTATGCCTCATAAACAAACATTTGGATTCCTGTACTGTATTCTAAACTGTTATTGCAAAGTCTGCTGATTTGTTACCTAATTTATTTTGATTGTTGTCCAAATTTCTAAAATTACTTTTAAAATAACAGTATTGAAAGCATCTTTGAGTGGTGCTATATAAAAGCGTATTCATATTATTTATTACTATTAATGTTTTGTATTATATCCCACCATTGTCCAGCAAAAGTGTGTTTATTAATTTATATAGTAGTTACATTATTACTGTATAATATTTGACTTGTATTATATAAATATGTATATATATATATATATATATATATTTCTTTAAGTATTAATATAAAAATTCTGTCTTCAAAATATTCTTCTTTTCGCATATCTTGTGGTTTATAACAACAGGCATCAGTGTTTTTCAGGAACACTGCATATTAGATGATACATCATCTCGGATCATATTTCCAAGAACTTTAAGAGTAGGAGGAAACCACAAAGCTTAGGATCTATGTGCTCCCTAAGGGAAGATTCAGTTGTCTCCCACCACCTGGCATCCAATCTCAGTTTACAGCTACACAATGCTCCCAAGATCCAGAATAAGAAAAACTCCCAGGAATAATAGTGATGATGACCCTAATCATCTCCTGAAAAGCAAACAGCAGTCAGAAGACTTTAGATAAGTGCACATTCACAATGCTCTTACTTCCTGTATCAGCTCTCACTCTGCAACCTAAATGTCAGCTGATAACTTGCGCAACCTGGGAGGCTCAAAACAATACTATGGTGCTCAATTTTGGTTAGCCTTACTTCCTTGATGTGCTGAGTAACTAAATGCTTTTCTCAGAGCTGGGGTGAGCTTAAATGATGTTGGCTGGTTTTGTGGCTCAAAGTGCAAAGAGAAAAAGTCAGACACAGAGGACGAGTCACAATGAGCTAAAGATTAGCAAGCATTTGAGGTTGTGAAAAGTTCTGTCAGAAGGATCCAGCAGAAGAATAGGCTCAGAGATGGGATTATGATTTCAACCATTTCGAAAGCACGACAATCCAGATAAAACGACTTTTGTGTCCCATTCCGTCCCTTTCCTTTCCCAACCTAACATGCAAATCAGTAAACTCATGTAACGTTTTGTAAAATGGGACGTGCTTGAAATAAAAATAGTTATTGGGTTATTATGGGGGGGGGTTGGTCGTGGATCTAATGACGTAGACAAGAGTGGAACTCCTTGTATGTGCATGTCTCTCAGAAAAGCGCGCCCACACACAAATGTATGTATTGCCCCTGTATTGCCCCGGGACAGCAAATGTGAGTACATTTTCTGTCATCTGTGCAGGACAGTGATATGAAGACTGTGCAAAGTAACATTTTAGCAACAGTGTAAAAGTGAATAGCACCGGTAAACATGAATATCTATTGGTACAACATGGATCACATGACTAAATTTATGTCATCATTTTCAAAACCTCCGGCTTCACAGTCCACACTACGACACAAAACAGCGTTTTCAAATTTATCCGCTTTGGAGAGCGTTTTCCAAAAGTCCTAAGTTTTCATTGACTTAAAACGCCGTCTCAGTGTGGACTGAAAAGCCTAACCGGAGAGAAAAAATACACGTTTTCAAAACGAAAATGTATTAGTGTGGACATGGCCTTAAAGCACTGTTTGTTTCATTTGTGTCTTTTTCTATAGGATTTGTCCTATTGTTTATACAATTTTTTTATTATATTACTGACTGTTTAATTACATTAGTTAGTCTAAGATTCTGCAAGCATTTTCAGCAAATTGATATTGCTCTCGTTAAATAAATGACTCGTATAAACGTCCACAAATAATCATGTTAATTGTGATTACAATACTGGCCATAATCGATTATTTTTGCCATAATCGAGCTGCCCTAGTATTTAGTGCTACAGAGATAAACTTTTTGTCAGCCAAAACCCAAAAACTAGTTATCACTATAGCATTTTTGGTTCCATCAGGTTTTTTTTAAATGGGTTTTTGTTTACATGCATGGAATAAGCTCTGTGGTGAACACAGTCTCAAGATGTGTTCATGCTTTCTACAATATAACATACATCACTAAAAATACTCCCTTAAGATTTTACCAAAGCTTTAACATTTCTCGAATAAGGTGGTTGCTATCAAGGGGCTAAATGGGACTATAAAGGCTGGGGACATTAAGGGTGCTTTAATATAGGGAGTTTAGTTCGAAACAGAGAGCAAGCACAGGCATTCAGGGCCTGCGTGTAAAGGAGATAAATCATATTTCTGCGGATATATTCACCTATATTAGTCATTCAAAATGGGAAACTGATGCTGTAGATACCCACTGTAAACAAAGCAGCGTATCAATCATGCAGAAATTATATGAATACCATCATATAATACAAAAACATTACAAGCCTTTTTGCAATTTCGACAAAACCTTGTCTGTTAGCCAGTTAGATAACATTATCTTGGTGACAAATCAGCAGAATTTGCAACAGCATTGTAGAATCCAAAACAGAAAACCAAACGTTTTAAAAGGTTGTACCAGATCAATGTACAACCTCTCATTTGGACCACCCTTAGTGTTATGCCCTCTAACCAACTTTAATCCAAAGTAATTTCCCTTTTGATTTCTCCTGAATGTTTGTCTGGCTGTTGTTTATCACCTCTGTTGAAAACAGAATCATGTTTACTGCTGGCTATTAAGTTGGAATGGATCCCAGGATTATAAACCTGATGAAAGACATATAGTATGTCAAAGTATGAAGAAATCATAAACTAAAATCATAAGGAAATCTGTAGAAAGTTCCTGGTTCATTACAATTGTGCATGGCGTATGTAACTAATCTGAAAAAATGAATGCAGTATGAAACTTAAAGGGATACTCCACTTTTCTGGAGACCAGAAACTGTCTGGTTACTGATATTCTTCTAAATATCAGAAAATCGGCTGAATGGATTTGAAAATGGTAAAACCCAACTGTTTAACTCTGGGGGAGTGGTAAAATGAGCCTATTTCCAAAAAAAGTGGACTATCCCTTTAAATCTGCAATTATGTAGGCTATAGTCATTTGGATTATTTGCAATATGGTCCAAATATTTAAATTATTCCCAAATAAATAACCAATTAGATACAAATCAAATGAAATCCTTTTTAGTTAGTTTGTAACAACTGATGGAATCTGACCTCTTTCTAATCAGTCATATTTCATCATCCAGGATGTGAGATCTGTGCCTGATTTGGCCATGTGTAAACATTAGGTTCAGAAAAAAAGTGTATCTGCTGCAGTATGAACACAACCTTTGAGTCTCTTAAGCACAAGTCATTCAGGTCTCCAGACAGCCTGGTGCTCAGGACATAAATAAGTAATAATATCATGAAAAGCTGACAGCTGCTGCCTGCATTTCGATGAAACTAACAGGGGTTTCACATAAGCATGCAAGCCTGCAAACCTGTGCCATATAGCAAATGAAACATGGAGCCTCCAATATGATGGTCACAATGAGAAGAAATTATGCATCATACACTTTTGAGGTGCCAAAAGCATGTCATATTCTGACTTTCATCTTACATCAAGTCAAAATGAAATGATAATGGCTACTTTTGCAGTAAGGCATTTTAACACTGCCTAAGCTTCTTAAATCAAGAGTTATCACAAAAAAGATATCTGACTGTTCCTAAACATCACAAAAGATCTTGTCTGCAGTACAGGTTTTCCTTTGCAAAATTCTAGTAAATATTAACATAACGGTTTGAACACTGATAGCCTTTGGAAATATCAAAACCTGAAAACCCTCAGTGCCATACCATCAGTGCAAAAAAATAAAATAAAAAAAATCACTGTGTATATTTAGTATATGTAAAACAAATATACATAATAAGTTGCATTTGGTCTTCATGTAACAGACACAGTTCTGTTTATTTGGAACAAACCAAACCACAAAGCTTTAATATTTAATGAGGCCAGCTAAACAGCAAGTTGACATGCTGCTGACAAGTTAGAATAGTATTATTAACTTTTTCCTATCAATAATAACACCCCTATGCTAATTAACAGACTGAGAGAACATCCACCACATTAAGAGACACTCTCACATTTACATATGATATCTATACAGTGTAAAAATGAAAGCGCTTTATTTAATCAAAAAAATGGTGGCAACAGATTACAAGCAATATTATTAATTCAATTTAACATATTAAAATGGAGTAATAATTAATCAAATTAACTCCTTAAAAGTTAACCATTTAAAATAAGTTTATTATAGTAAATTGAAGTCACCATTATGGTGATCGGTGTTTGTTTTAAAATGACGGTTTTCTCCTTCAGTGATATTGTTTGTTAACATCAGGTGTCTTCAATGTTGGCAATATAAAATAAAGAGTTCTTAATGAATCTTTGACGTCTGTCTGTTATTCAGACATTTTTGTTTAATTTTTTGGTGTAAACTTTACTCATTTTAAATGGTTAACTTTTAAGGAATGATTTGATTAATTATTACTCAATTCTAATTTGTTAATTTAACTAAAT